AGACAACAAACATCAGGCGATTTTACCTCGCCACTTCTCAACCTTAATCATCGCTCACGCCCATTTGCGCACCCTGACTGGAGGAACTCAGCTGACATTGGCTCATGTCAGGCACAATTACTGGATCATCGGCGGACGGGCTCCGGTGAAGTCTCATATTTTGCGGTGTGCTCGGCAGAGGGGGATCCGTGCTCATCAACTGATGGGCCAACTACCTCTCTCTCGGGTTACGCCGGCACGTCCGTTTGCTCATAAAGAAGTCGACTATGCAGGACCGCTCACTATCAAAACATGGAAGGGATGAGGTGTGAAAATATACAAGGAAGTGATCTGTGTTCGTCTGCTTCTCCACCTCCGCAATTCACCTCGAAGTAGTCAGTGACGACTCATCAGAAGGATTCATCGCAGCCTTCCGAAGATTCTCAGCGAGAAGGGGAATTGCTCAGATCATGTATTCGGACTGCGGGACAACATTCATTGGAGCAGACGCCGCGCTCAAGAAAATGTTCATCCAGGGCTCTCAAGAACATCACGGATTGCTAAAGTTTTACAACTTAATGACACAGGATGGGAGTTCAACCCACCAGGCGCTCTACACATGGGGGGCAAGTGGGAGGCGGTAGTAAAGTCTGAAGTTTCATCTGAGACGGACTATCGGGGAGACTCTACTCACGACGGAAGAACTCACAACGTTGCTTACGCAAAACAAGGACATTCTCAACTCGCGGCACTTAGAACCGCTGAATGACGACCCTGAAGACGTCTCAGCGCTCACACCAGGTCATTTCCTCATTGGAGGTCCAATCACTACCATACCCGAGCCATCTCTGATTGACCTAGGAACCTCACGACTATCTCGGTGGCAGCTCATCCAGCAGCGTGTTCAACATTATTGAAAATAACAGCTCTCTGTTTCAGGTTTATCGCTCTTTTTAAGGCACAATGGTCGGCTCACTATCTGCAACGCCAGCAGGCGATCTCCAAGTGGCATCATCCTAACAATAACATTAAGGTGGGCTCCATCGTGCTGCTCACCGACGAACGCTCTCCACCGTGCAAATGGCCACTCACTAGAGAAACAGCTTTGCACCCCAGCAAGGGTGGACTCACCAGGGTTGTTACCCTCAAGACGGCCACCACGACACTCACTCGGCCAAGTGCCAAGCTTGCCATATTACCCATTTCAACCGGAAGAAGGATCAAGAGTAAGAAATCATCAACAGGGTTGCTGATGGCGGGCGGAATGTTCGAGATTCCGTTAACGCTGCGCCGTCAGATCAGATGGCAGCATCGATCGGATAACGACGCTAGATCACCGCGGCAGCTTGCGCCGCGCACGGGCGCGCTCATTGCCAACGTCTTCCTCGCGATATTCAGAGTCGTACAAATGGCCGCGCAGTGATCAGACGCACGACATGTGCTCTGTGCATTTTCGATTGTAACTACACATTGAAGTGCCCACCGCAGTGATTACAACAGCTGCCGAGATACTGCATTAACATGTAAAGCGACCACTCATCCTGCTCTACTCGGGTACATCACCACGACGACTCAGGCTCACATGTGCGCGAGTGCCGACCGCCACGTGTCTCACCGGCTCACGGGCAATTCATCGAAGAGGACGGCAATCAATATAATTGCCTTTCATTTACACGGACTATATACACCTCATTTATACACCGCTCATCGATTCTCAGGTCAGATTGTATCAATTTCGACGCATTAAAGACGCATTAAAGACGGCTCAGACTGTGGTCTGAGTTACACAAAATAAAGTGAATATTGAGTTAACACCTTCCACGCGCGTCCTTCTCATCCCGCTTCCATCGCCGGGATTAATCAGCGATTTCGCGAACATTTGGTCCTTCGAGCCGGATGCGTGGAACTTAAAGTGTAACTCAGACACAGATCATGTGAACAGAGCATGCCTTTCACGACATGCCACGTGGATATTATCGCGCGCTTCCGCGAGTGAAGTACAGACATTCTCACGCGCGCTCGCGAGTGTTACACAAACATGTTCACGCGCTCCCGCGAGTGTAAATAGACATTTTCACATGCTCAATACATGACATTGTAGACTCTCGATTCGCATAGTGTTTTTCTCACGCGTCTCTCGAACGTTCTCGAATCGTGCAGCATTTCTTACACGTGTCTCGACATTTCTCAGGTATTTCATCGTGCGCAGCTCAGGGACGGCTCAACATGACGGAACCCGCAAAGGCGGGTACGGGAGGTACGGAGATCACGACGCCGCTGCTCGAGGTACCACCGGCTCGCACATCGGAACGCCAAGCCTTACCCGTGCGCTTGTCCACGGAACTCATCCTAAATGAACCGCCTGGTGACGGTGCGGAATATTGGCGACACGCTGCCAACTTGTGCAGAGGACATGCCGTTAGAGGAGGTCATCCAAATCTCAATGCAACTCGAAGAGGCGAACAAGGCGGTTCTCAAGGAGCATGCATATCTTGAAGCTTCACAGCCGTCGGCGCTCATTCAACAGCAACGCGCACGTTGACAGCTCAGCATGTGGCAGCTCAACCGGCCCGCACGGCAGCATTTCTAATTTACCCGTCCGATTGTTGCAACGGCACTCACTTCATTGTGATGTGCACGTAATTTAGGGATCTTTCAATAGGCGATCGACAAAAATTAGTCATACCACGGAGGCTTTGGTTCAAATGCCTCGGCCGCCACAACGGCCGCTCATGTAAAGGCTCACGGGGGTGCAAGAAGTGCACCAACCGACACGATGCTGCATGAGGCTCATCAGTCGAACTCATCAGCGAAGCCGATCACCAGCTCAGCTGCGTCAGCTCAATAGGAAGATGGTGCAATCGTCGCTCACTCATCTTTGGCCCGCTCATTACACTCAACATTACTCGCTATGGCCCTGGCTCAGATCAGATCATCTGTTCATACTCAATGCGTATGGCCTCTCATTGTTTCAGGTTCAGAACTTACCTTTGTTTCAGAATCTCTTGTTCGCCAGCTCAACATCACTCGTCATCGTTCCGTCATTCATTACCGGAATTGGTGGCGAAGAAGGCGACGCAAACTCGAGGAGTTGCATTCCTCAAGCTCCGCTCACTTCGCTCAAGATCAGACGTCATCATTCAAGCTCACATTTGCAGACGTTAACAAACATCTTGCCATCATTCAACGCTGCACCACAGGAATGGCCGCATCTCACCAGGGTAGCCTTGGCTGATCCAGATGTTTTGACACCTCGGCCAGTGGATATTATCATTGGAGCTGACTCATATGGGCAGATCATCAAGCCCAACATCATCAAACGGGATACATTGATGCCAATTGCGCAGCTTTCAATCTTTGGATGGCTCGTCCTCGGGCCTGTCGACACATCATCATCGGCACCTGCTGCAGTGCATCATGCATCAATTCATGAGAGGGAAGATGCTCTCGATGAGTTACTGTCGAGATTTTGGACACAGGAAGAAGTGCCTGCGAGCAACAATCCTGAGCTTACTCCTGACGAGCAAAGATGTGAAGAACATTTCAAGAGTACTGTATCACGGGATTCAACAGGTCGATACACAGTTCGACTTCCACCAAAATCATTACCTGATACTCTTGGCGATTCGTATCTCACTGCGCATCGATGTTTGCAAAGTCTACAAAGGAGACTCTCCCGAGATGAAAACTATCGACGTCTGTATCATCAATTTATGACAGAATATCGAGATCTCAACCACATGAAGAAAGCTTCACCCGTTTCCAGTCAGCAGACGCAATATTATTTGCCACACCACGGAGTGCTCAAACCAGACAGTGCAACCACGAAATTACGTGTGGTATTCAATGGCTCGAGCGCATCCACATCTGGCCGCTCACTTAATGATATCATGCACACGGGAGCCAAGTTGCATTTAGACGTCACCGATGTCTTGCTCTGGATTCGACAATTTCGACACCTAGTTGCCACGGACATCACCAAGATGTATAGACAGATCAACGTGCATGAAGATGACTGGAACGTACAACGGATTCTCTGGCTCGACGAACTGCTCAATTAAGTGGCACATTATCTAACCACGGTCACGTATGGCACCAAGGCTGCCCCGGTCTTGGCAGTACGAACGCTGCTGCCACTGGTGAAGGACGAAGGCCATAATTTTCCTCTTGCAGTGCCGTCCATCCTTCAAGGTCGATACGTCGACGACAGCTTTGGAGGCGCTGACACTGTCCAACAGTTAATCAAAATTGCATTGCAGCTGAAGAACTTGTGCATGGCGGGCGGTTTTCCCTCAGCCAAGTGGCACGCGACTCATCTAGACGTGCTCACTGCGGTTCAAGCAGAGAAAGACCAGGGCTCCCAAATTACATTTGACGATTGCGCAACCAAGATACTCGGATTACGATGGCTTCCTCAAGAAGATTCATTCGCATTCGCAACAAGGATCTTGTCGCATCCGATCATCTCACCAAACGCCTCGTTTTGTCTGAAGTGGCTCAGATATTCGATCCACTAGGCTTTGCATCACCAGTCGTGATCAAGGCGAAGATGCTTTTGCAGGAGCTTTGGCTTCATAAGCTCCAATGGGATGAACCACTGCCATCCCAGCTCTCATCACGATGGCTCATCATCAGAAAGGAACTCACCAGCTTGCGCAAGATCTCAATACCTCGGTGGTATAACACATGGAGTACATCGACAGTGGGATTTCACGGCTTTTCTGATGCTTCTCAACTGGCAATGGCTGCAGTCGTATTTATCACCGTCCACGGCTCTAATGGCGCCACGATTTCATTGGTGTGCTCCAAAACAAAGGTAGCACCACTCAAGCGGCTCACCATCCCGAGACTTGAACTCACCGCAGCTCTGCTGCTCTCAAGACTCATGCAATACGTTCAAGCCACCTTGATGTTGAACGTCACAGCAACTCACCTGTGGACGGACTCTGTTGTGATACTCACGTGGATCAAATCTCATGCATCGCGCTGGAAGGATTTAGTGAGAAATCGGGTCTCTCAAATTCAAGAGCTCACTGCGAACGCACATTGGAAATACGTACCAGGTACGTCCAACCCAGCCGATTGCGCCTCACGAGGATTAAATACTGCTCAACTCCAAAGTCACTCATTATGGTTGACGAGACCACCGTGGATACTCACCCCTGAAGCTTGGCTATCTCAACCCGCGCTTTCGGACGAGTTGAGCGCGCATGAGGCTCGTCCTGGCATTGCGCTACATGCGGCCGCATCTCAACCGGACTATCACTGGGACCTGATATATAGGTACTCAACTCTCAACAAGTTATTGAAAATAACAGCTCTTTGTTTCAGGTTCATATCGCTTCTGGGAAAGCACCGACGCAAAAACACTGGACTTACACTCAGCTTTGGAGGAGGCCAGACTCTTCTGGATTAAGGCTACTCAAGCGGCATACTTCACGCACGAGATCAAGATGCTCACGGCCAACTCGAGACTACCAACTGCTCACGCATTCAGTCGATTGACTGCGTATATAGACGCTCAAGGGATCATCCGAGTTGGCGGCCGCCTCAACCAATCAGCACTAGATCAAGACAACAAACATCAGGCGATTTTACCTCGCCACTTCTCAACCTTAATCATCGCTCACGCCCATTTGCGCACCCTGACTGGAGGAACTCAGCTGACATTGGCTCATGTCAGGCACAATTACTGGATCATCGGCGGACGGGCTCCGGTGAAGTCTCATATTTTGCGGTGTGCTCGGCAGAGGGGGATCCGTGCTCATCAACTGATGGGCCAACTACCTCTCTCTCGGGTTACGCCGGCACGTCCGTTTGCTCATAAAGAAGTCGACTATGCAGGACCGCTCACTATCAAAACATGGAAGGGATGAGGTGTGAAAATATACAAGGAAGTGATCTGTGTTCGTCTGCTTCTCCACCTCCGCAATTCACCTCGAAGTAGTCAGTGACGACTCATCAGAAGGATTCATCGCAGCCTTCCGAAGATTCTCAGCGAGAAGGGGAATTGCTCAGATCATGTATTCGGACTGCGGGACAACATTCATTGGAGCAGACGCCGCGCTCAAGAAAATGTTCATCCAGGGCTCTCAAGAACATCACGGATTGCTAAAGTTTTACAACTTAATGACACAGGATGGGAGTTCAACCCACCAGGCGCTCTACACATGGGGGGCAAGTGGGAGGCGGTAGTAAAGTCTGAAGTTTCATCTGAGACGGACTATCGGGGAGACTCTACTCACGACGGAAGAACTCACAACGTTGCTTACGCAAAACAAGGACATTCTCAACTCGCGGCACTTAGAACCGCTGAATGACGACCCTGAAGACGTCTCAGCGCTCACACCAGGTCATTTCCTCATTGGAGGTCCAATCACTACCATACCCGAGCCATCTCTGATTGACCTAGGAACCTCACGACTATCTCGGTGGCAGCTCATCCAGCAGCGTGTTCAACATTATTGAAAATAACAGCTCTCTGTTTCAGGTTTATCGCTCTTTTTAAGGCACAATGGTCGGCTCACTATCTGCAACGC